AATAAAACGGCTTGATAATTTCTACAGCAGAAACTTTTTAGAAAATACCATTCAATATCTCTCATTGTTCTCTTCAAGTACTTTTACAAAACCTACTTTTATTTTTATAATAGGATTACATTATGTACGTTTTTGGGCTCGCTGGAAGAAACGGCTTATAGGAGAGAACAACGTTAGATAGAATATTTTCGCTTCACAGGCGGCTTTCGTAAAATTCGTTTAAAAGCCTACATCCAAAAGATTTACTTCGAGAAAATCCTGCTTCTGCCCCAGGATTGCAACTCGCAAACTTTGGTCTCGCTGGAAAAGAGGCTTTCAGCGATTTCTACGGCAGCACACCCTTCACAAAAATTTTCATTCGCAGTCGATTCTTATAAACTCTCTGCTTTGGTATTGTCATAATTCCACCTTGAGACTTGTACACACTTTGGTCTCGGTGGAAAGCCGACTCACTTCCGAAACAGGAAGCCATTACCAAAAGATTTTCGTGCTGCTGACGTTGATGAAAATTTCTAAGGGCTGCTCTTTGAAGCATATGCTTGGTAATCTAACTCTGCTCCCAGGCTGCAACTTGCAAAAGTGGGTCCAGCTGGGAAATTAGCTTAAAGGCAGTGACTCGGCAAACCTCAACCTATTCATCGCTCACCTGGGGTTATTCAACACGCTGATCACGAAAATCCACTTTAGAGAGCTCGAAAACGGCGAAAACGAGCGTTTTTCAACCCCTTCCCTTCAAAATTGGACGAGTGGAGCAAGGCTGATGACGCTGAATCGTTGCGGGACCCAATGATTGTAGCATTGCGGCGGGCAGCCTCCAATGGTGAGAAGGAATTTGCCAACTCGTCCGGGTGCGTATAAGATTGGCTTGCGCGTGTAAATTTGAGAGCGATTTTCTCGGCAGGAAAAGCATGCTGTGCAACCGGGATTGCACTGTTTTCATACTTGACGATAAGGAACCTAACGCGTTAAGATCATAGGTTGTCAAGTTTTGCCGATCCACTGCCTTTAATGGTTTTTACCGCAGAACACTTTTAGAAATAACATTTTCAATCGATCTTCAAAACTTTGGGAGGATCCTACCTATGCTCTCACAATTACATTTTGGAGGTTTTGGTCCCGCTGGAAAAGAGACTTTACGGCAGAGCATTTATAGATAATAATCTCAAAAAATCTTCAAAGAATCCTTTGGATGCCTTCAGAGAACTGCAATTCTCCTCCCATTGCAACTTACAAAGATTGATTCCGCTGAAAAACTCACCTAAATGGTTCCCACCCTTACAGAGATCTTTCGCAATTAAATTTCATGAAGTATTGAATGGCTTCAGAAAAGGCCTGCTGTTGCTCCACGCCTACAAAGTGCAAAATTGGTCCCCTCTAAATTCGGTAATTTCTACTGGACAGCATTGCAAAAATATTTTCGTTTAGCAGCTAAGTTTTATAAATTTTGCTGGAAAATGCTTCGTAGTGTCAACTCTGGGAAAAATTGCCTTGAATAAAAGCCCGTACTCTTGTAGGCGAAGTGGAGGTGCCTTAGAAGGGTTCGCGTCATTTCTTTTGGAAATCGTCATAGTTTAAATAAATTTTGAACTGCTGTTATGGCTTGAAAAAATGATGGTACCTTTGTTCGAAACGGAAGGACGTATAAGGTGTTTTACGTCATTTTTGGGGTAAGCCAAAAGGAGAAAATTTTCTTGGCTGTAAAATTCCCTGGGAAGATCAGGAAGAGTAAGTTCAAAATTTTACAAAAAATCAAAGCAGATCGTCAGCCCGCGTCACGTGGGGTCGGCAAAAACTGGGATTTTACCTTTAAGCCGTCAAAATCTTTTTACAAAAAACCTAATCGAAAAGCCCACAGAAACCTATCTCAATCTGTGATTCGGGCACTTACCAATGTAGCTGCCCAACCCACTTGCTAGCAACCCATAATGTCGCTAGTCTCCTATAAAAAGCTGAATTCAATTCAAAACCGGATAGCAGCTTCAGAAGCTGAATGTCTGTTAGCACACATACGGGGGGAAATGAGGCTGTCGTAGGCTACTCGTCATCAATCGATATCGATTTTATAGACTTTTACCGATTTTTTGTAAAGTTCGGAGCCTAGAGTTGCCACATGGGGGGGAGGGGGTAATCGAGCATGCTGATTATGAATACAATATTAGTTTTCGAAATTTCTGTTACTTTCTTAGCGAATTTATCGATTTTTTGCAATGTTCGAGCTACGGGGCTGAGATTTGGCACAGAGGGGGGGGGGAGGATCGAGCATGCTGAATATGAAAAAACATCAATTTTTGAAATTATCCGTTACTTCCATCGATATTATCGATTTTTTTTGCAAAGTTTGAGGTACGGGGCTAGGAATTGGCACAGAGGGATAAGTGAGCATGCTGATGACTAATACAGCGGGAATAGGGAGCTGAAGTTCGTATGTAGAAGTGGGCACAAGGAAAGGTGTACAGAGATAGGGATGGGACCTTTATCGTAGTGTTTTGACAGGGCCGGGCATAGACGGGTATGCCAGCTAGTTTAATATAGCTAGTATCTTAATATACCGATGGCATATTGGCCGTTTTGAAAAATGTTTACGAGAAAGATATGTTACATGTTGCAGCGCCCATTCTTAGCGGCAATCCTGTACACCTAAGAAGCACGATAAGAACTAACTTACTCTATATTCATGGCTTCGCAAGTTAGGCTGAGAAAAAGGCAAGTAAACGCCTAAATGCAACTTTAATAGACCTACTTTTGATTTTAAAGAGAATTTGAGTAGAACTTTTCCATGTGCTACTTGAGGTCGGTAAGTCACCCTTTAGTTCATATCTCTACCTAGGGAAGAAGCATGGCTTTCACATTGCGGTTCCTCAGTCTTCTGTGATATAAACCCGTGAATTCACATAACGCAAGCTCCAATCTACTTTACTTCCAAAAATCAAAAATTCTTTCCTCAGCCTCTTTTTTCTCATCCCCTTTAAATTCCTCATTCTTCTAATTTATTAAGGGAATATGGTTGATGGGGGAGAAGTAAAATAGGCGGAATCAGAGGAATTTGGTAAGATAAACACCGACTTCATTTCCTAAATTTTCATTACTAATATATTGTGGCAATGCTACCGGAGTTGAAATGGATTGTTTTGTAAGTGGGCGGGACCCAAAGGCGGTAAATCCGCATTGAACAACTCGAAATTTTAATGCGGTAGATTGCTTATCCTTCTTCTTCTCTAATTCAAAACAAAACAGAGTAATCATATAGCACAGTTTGCCCTGCCTGCCGAAAAAAAAAATGCCTGAAGACCCGTACGCGCAAGCCCTCCTTGCAGCCCTCCCTCCACTTAAAAAAAGGGCCTTGAAAAAAGCCATTTTCGTCATTTTCAAGCTCTCTAAAGTAAATTTGCAGCATCAGCGCCTCGGATAACCCGGTAAGCGAGAACTAAAAGACAAAATTTGCCGAGCCGCTGCCTTTAACATGTGGGGAATTTGGGGAATTTTTCGCGTATTTGCAAACCAATGCGTCACCTCCGCTTCGCGGAGGTTCGCACTGGCTCTGTTAACCGTATGCCTTATTCATGCTCCCAAAATGATGACTTTGAAACTCTCCGCGCGAGGCTGTACATCATAAATGAATTGTAAACAACTGTTTATTCTTGAAGCATCTCCATGTAAGATCGGTAATTTTGAGAAAGAAAACTTTTTTTGCCAAGGAATAAATACGAATTTGAACAGATGATTGATTTGGGCTTGATAATTGTTATAAAGGTAATAGTCATTTTGGGTTACATTTCCATGCAAAAATCTTTTCAGATATTTATGTAAAACCTTGTCAAATCGACTCTCTAGGCGATCACTACTTTTTGGCGCTGTTCTCGCGGAAAAGCAAATTTTTGAGCACTTTTTGAGCTAGAATTCTTGGAACGCAGATTTGCTTGTCAGGCAAATCAGGACTTTGCAAAAAGTTGAATTTGTGACCTAGTTTTGCGCGCCAAAAGCCAGGTGGACCCACTTATCGAACCGGATCGTCCTTGTGCATGGTGGGCCTACACGCTGGTACGGTATGCTATGCAAAATTGTAGCACGATAGCTTGGCTGCAGCTGCCTCTATGAATTTCGTGACAGACAGACAGACACAGACAGACAGACAGACAGACAGACAGACAGACAGACACAGACAGACAGACAGACAGACAGACAGACAGACAGACACACACACACACACACACACACACACACACACACACACACACATACACACACACACACACACACACACACACACACACACACATACACACACACAAAAGACAGAGATTAGCGCTTTATTATGTCATGATAGAGGAGGGTGGAGGTAGGTGGGCAGTCAGTGAAGGTGCGGAGCTTCATCAAGTTCTGACTGAAATAGGATGAGCCTTGGCTAATGGTTTCACTGTTTTACTTGGCACATGGAAATTTTGAAGTGCGCAACACTTTAAAGTTCTTTTCGACGCTTTTGAGGCAGATCTTGCAGTTGCGTTTGCCAAGTACCAAGTACTCATGGGAAAAAACTGGATTTTCGGGAGAGCCAAAAATAAATAATAAAATAAATCTTTAAAGAATCAACAATTTTATTCGCAATATGTTTCATAGAATATGAAGTTGCGAGATTCTGAAGATTGCGCAGTATGATGTGTTCGGAATAGGCAACTGCATGCAAAGATCTAGATCCTGAATTTCTTATGGTCAGGTAAATTGGCAAACAGTGCTAATTCGTGCATAGAATAGAATTGAGAATATGTCAGCTACGAAGTGAAATTCAATTTTTTTCGTCTTCATATTGCGCACACCGGGGGCGGAGAAGGGGACGAGAAGGTAGGATGAGTGTTTTCAAAGGAGCTGGTCTCAAGAATGAAATGAAAAGACTTTTTTGATGATAGGATTGACAAGATTGAAAAATCATATATCAACTAGCATTTATACGCTTGTAAAAATCTACTCGATGGAGGATATGATAACAGAGTGACTGCTGTTTACAGAGCTTCAACGTTGAGAACGTCAATTGTCAAAATGCAAAATACCTATGTCATCATTCGTATCATCATCACGCATTTATCTCTGCTCCTATGCAACATCTCGTCTGAAGGTAAAAAAGTCTGACTGCAAGATCATACTTGACAAATTATTACGCTTGTACTGTAGAGACGTTTACAAGATTTTGTCTGAACGCAGGACGTCATGGCGAAGGAACACTCCAGGTATGCAAAGCTTATATTAGGCAGTAACTTAGCGCATCGTATACGCGTACAAGGAAATAATGGAAATCAACGTGGCTATTCTCATCGAGCAGCATACTACTGGCGGCAGCATAAATCGCCCATTTTCAAATCTACGTAATTTGCGAACGCCTTCGAGAGACGAAGTTATAATCTAGTGTATTGCATGACATTGTGTGCGAGAAATGCAAACTTGTACACGCAAACCCATATTTAGTTTGGTTTTAGGTGGAGCATACAGATAGTTTGCTTTATACAGTCCATTCCAGTTTGAGCAAGAAGAGCATTTATGTGTCTTATTTTGCAATCATGTGTACAGTTCATCGCAATGAAACTGCTTATACCTTTATTCACAAGAGTCTTCAGCAAATACGCAAGACAAACTTGGAATCAGGGTTATTCTGCACCTAGTGTGCAGCTTGTTGTGAATGGCAGTCACGACTTCTGGGAGGGTATGTGTCAAAATCCATTTTGTGTTTGGGCATCATTCACTATAGGAAGTAATCGCCCGGCGCGGGATGTATGAAACTCGCGGGCTCCCAATCCGGAGGTTCAGCGCACCCCACCTTGCAAGGTCGCACATTGCCTGTCCAATTTTAGCAGACGGTGAAACATAGAAAACGAGCAGCTGTTTCTACCATGAAGTAAACTAAACAATTTTAGTCCATTTGAAATTTAGAAATCATAGCACGATAAGGTTTTTATGGCATGGGTGAGACCGCGAAAACCAGTGATCGTTACTTACATAGATACTTAGATGGCCCGTCCACACGTGATGTGCGGGCCCCAGTACAGAAGTTGCCATTGATCCCTGTCCCTCTCTTCGGACATCCATGATCTTCTTGGTCGTCGTCGGTAGCTGCGTCCACGAATTTCAGGGGCGAATTGCATCCAGCTGATTTCTCAGCTGGTCCATCCGTTCCACGAACACGTCTGCCCACCTCGAGGACGTTTGGCTTCGCGAGGAATCCACTCAGATGTTCTTAGTGTCCATCTATCGTCTATTCTTCTCATTATGTGAGCGGCCCATCGGTGTTTCGCTTTCGCATCGTATTCCGCTCGGTCACGAAGACGGGACATTCTTCTCATATCCGTGCTGCGAAGTCCGACTAGATATTGCTTGTGTCGGGTCATCTTCAGAAGACTACGCTCGAGTGCTCTGTGGGTGGTCCTTAAAGCTTTCGACATGGCTACGGTGTCCGCCCAAGTCTCAGCTGCGTAGCAGAGCGCTGGGAGAACGGTTGAGTCGAACAGGTGGGCACGAAGCTCCGGGTCCGTCAGTTGGTCGGTGGCTTCCTTCAGAGGCCCGAAGGCGGCCCAGGCTGCTCTTCTTCTCCTGTTAAGTTCTTCCCTCAAGTCGTTCTCCATGTTCATCGAACGTCCGAGATACACGTAAGAAGACGTCTCCATGATAGGGGTGCCTTCCAATTCCATTTCTGCATCTTCGCAAAGAGCGTTCTTCATGAACTGAGTCTTCTTCCGATTTATTCGCAGTCCGATCTTCTTCCCTACTTCGTTTAGTTCCTTCAGCATCGCCTCTGCTTCAGTGATACTGCTCGAGAAAAGGACGATGTCATCCGCGAAACGAAGGTTGGACAGGAATCTCCTATCAACTGGTATGCCTCTCTCGTTTCAGTCCAGTGACTTCATCACCCACTGCAAGGCCGCGGTAAACAGCTTCGGCAAGATAGTGTCGCCTTATCGAACCCCCTTTCCGATGGAATGGTCAGGGGACGATGGAATTGCTGCATCGTTATTGTACCTCCCTTGTAGCAGTCGGCTAGTGTTCTCATGTAAGCTAGGTTCACTCCTTGATCGACTAGCACAGACAGGATGGCGTTGGTTTCGACGCTGTCAAAGGCATTCTCGTAGTCGACGAAAGTTAGGACGAGAGGCGTCGGTATTCCCGGCAGGCTTCTATGACTCTCGAAACCGTCTGGATGTGATCCATGCAGCTGAACCCCTCGCGGAATCCAGCTTGTTCTTGGGATTGGGCTTCATCCATCCTAGATATGCGAGCGAGGATAATCTTCGTGAAAAGCTTGTACAGCACACTCTGAAGATCCTCCCATTCGCCCTTCTTGAAGAGAAGGAGATTCTTGACGCTCTCCACTGGTAGGAAATCTTCTCCTTCTGAAGGTAAGATGTCAAATGCGATGCTAGAACCTCGTGTAGATGGTGTCTTCCGGCTCGCAGAAGTTCGATGGAAAAATGATCTGGTCCTGGAGCCGTGGATGTCTTCATGGTCTGTATCGCAATACGCACTTCAGCAGGTAGAATCCTTGGTGGCACTTTTCCAGTGGGAATAACGAGCATCGGCACGGGTGTTGATGAGCGAAGAGGTTGGTGTAGAAATTCTTCGCGATAGAATCCATCTTGTATCGAGAAGAAGTTGGGGTCGTTGGGGTCCCGCCATCGTTCAATAGTGCAGTCAGCGGTACATGATACTCGCAGAGGTCCCTTCGGCACTTCTTAAAACTTCGTCTTTCTTCGGCTGCTTCCAGTATCTTGGCTTGCCTGTACTTCCTGAGATCCTCCTGCAAAGCTTTTCTGCAATTGAAGTTGGCTATCATTTGCTCGAGATGGGTTGCATTCGGATCCTGCCTGAAGTCTTCTTCTTTCGAACAATTCCTTGGTGGTCTTCGAAATGCGTTCCAAGTTCTTCTCAGAAGTTACTGAGGCGCACTCTCCGCAAGCTCGCAATCCTTTCAAAAGGCGGTCGTAGTCGTACGTTGGGTCCTCCTCGATGGGCCAGTCACAACTTGACATGAGCTCTTCCGGCCTGTTACCGTCATAAACGACATTCTTCCTTCTTGCGGTACTATGCAGACCTTTTGCAGCTTTCGACTGAATCGTACCTTTGCTCGAAGGAGGCGGCGATCGGAGCCACTGCAGAAGGGTGGAACTACTGGGACATCGAGCAAGCTCCACCTTCGGTTGGTGAGAGTGTGGTCGATCTCCGCATGAATCGTTCCGTTGGGCAATTCCCATGTCCATCGGCGATGTTCTTTCTTCATGAAGATGGAATTTCCATGGAAAAATCGTGCGGCGGAGAGAAGCCCAACAAGACGGTTGTCGTTTTCGTTCCGGAGCCCATATCCAAACTTCCCGATCCTATATTCCTTTTCTAATGGCATCCCGATTTCCGCGCTGAAGTCGCCCACAACATGCTTGTAGAAGGACTTTTCGTTGCGGGCGACCTCCTCCACGTCTTCGTAGAAAGCATCTAGTTCTGAGTGGTCAGCTGCTGATGTTGGAGAGTAGCAGTTGATGATGCTGATGGTCTTCTGACGTGGAGGGCGTAGTCGTAGGATGGCTAGTTGGGGTGATACGATCTCGTGCGAATCGACAACATGGACGATAGATGGGTGGACGACAAAGCCAACGCCTCCCACGTTTCGTGATGGAACCTTCTCATCACGAATGATGAGCGTCCCATCATACGTCTGTCGCACGTCTTTCTTCCTGGACTTCGTTTCCTGCAGAGCGATGATGTGGTACTTGATGTGCTATGCAGCGTCGAGAAGAGCGTGGAGGTCGGCGTTTGTGGAGACTGTCCTGGTGTTGTAGCTGCAGAGCATGAGGCAGTCTCCGTGGCGTTCGTCCGGGCAGACGTGTCGTTTTTGTTCAATCCAAAAGGCGCCCTGAGTACCCTGACACCGTTCTTGCTACCACACGGCGCCATAGGCCGGATCCGATGTGCAGGGTTTCTTTCTATTCTTCTAACTGGTAGAGTAATGGAATTTTTCCCCTACAAGAGCAGACTTACTAGGCCAACTCTTGATTTCCACGGGGCGATCGCTGACCCCGGGCTTGAAGCGGGGAGAAGCGCCTAGCGACCTGAAAACCAGACGGCAGTTGATCTGGCCTGGCCGGCTCTTAGCTAGGCATCCGGGCGAAACCGGAAACGTCGAACTCCTTCACAGCTTGTAAGGCCCTGCCAGAGTATACACTCGGCTGTGCATCGCAGTTCGACACTCAGTGTCACCCCCACGCCACGATGAGGCGGCCGACTTTTGTGGGGGTGATCGTTATGTGAACTTATTTCGATTAGCTGCCTTCCCCGGTCCCGCCCGGCCGAGATCCAGAACGGCCCGGCTTAACATCTGCTCCAAATCAACTTATGGCTCACCATTAGTCTCCATTTCCTTATCTTCTCCTCCTTTCCTGCTTCAGCTCCGAGTTTGAATCACAACGCTTCTGTATCCGTGGTGAAATTGCTTTCCTTCTTGACCGCCTCGCTTCGTGACACCGCATTTTCCTCACCGCAAGGTGTAAGTGATCTCTACCGCCCCTTCTACTTGGAGAAATGTGATACCTTTCTTTTTTCTTAGATGTAAGTAAAATCAATAAATCGATGGAAGGACTCAGCGAAAAGTCGCGAAAAGTAGCCTATCTTTTGCGCCCCGTCTCATTTATAGGGGGAAAAAATTCAGCCTTTTCGGTTCACATGTAAATGAGTCTATAAGCCGCAAACACCCTCGCAAACAAAGGTACAGTATTTGAGTTATATATTAGGTCGTTCCGAAAGTAATGTCGCTTTTTTCGAATGAACGCCACTATTCGTGGAATCAACATTTCCAAAAGATCTTAGGAGCATTCGATGCAGCATTTCATCCTCTTTCTAAGAGTTCCAATTTCGCTGCACAATGTTTGATGAGCTCTCGAAAAATTACCAAAATCTGCGACTCATGCTTTTTGCCATGGTCAAGTTCGGCTTTTCTAAATTTTTGTACCTAATCTCCGAAAAAGTACAAGTGGCAGGTAGGTAGAGCAGACACTATAGAACATGGATTAATTTTTTCTTTTCCTTAGCTTGCTTCTCAGAGTTTCTACAATCAATTTGTCAATGCTATCAAATTCCATATTTAGTCAGGTCAAACCTCACAAAACAACAACCGAGAAGCGACTCGGGTGTCATTCGATGCAGCTTTTCTTCATCTTTCTAAATGTTGTTTATTGTTTCCGAGTCATCAAGTTTT